ATCGGTAATGAGAGACCAGTCTGAGAAAACAAGCAACGGCCGTCATCCGCGAGGAGCGGGGATGAAACCGGTCTTCAAATATGGAAAGCACGCCGAGCCGGGAGGCCGGTCGTGATTTAATGGTGTCGGCAATGAGAGGCCGACCTGAAATCAAGCAACGGTCCTCATCCACGCATCGCGGGGATGAGCCCGGTCTTCAAATAAAATAATCATGCCGTGCCGAGAGGCCGGTCATGATGTAATGATGTCGGCAATGAGAGGCCGAACATGATGTGACAGTGTCGGCAATGAGGGGCCGACCTGCAAGAATCAAGCAACGGCCCTCATCCGCGAGGAGCGGGGATGAGTCCGGTCTTCAAATGTGGAAAACACGCCGAGCCAGGAGGCTGGTCGTGATATAACAATATCGACAATGTGAGGCCGACCTGAGATAGCAAGCAACGGTCCTCATCGACGAGGAGCAAGTATGAGGCCGGTCTTCGAAAGATAATGGCACCGTACCAGGGGGTCGGTGGCCATGTAAGAGTGTCGGCCTGGGGGGCCGATCAGAAAGAACCAAGCAACGGTCCTCATCCGCGAGGAGCAGGGATGAGTCCGGTCTTCAAAAGATAAGACGACGTGCCGAGAGGCCGGTCATGACATCATGATGTTGGCAATGGGAGGCCGATCTGAAATCAAACAACGGTCCTCATCCGCGCATCGCGGGGACGAGGCCGGTCTTCAAATAAGATAATCACGCCGAGCCGGGAGGCCGGTCGTGATGTAATGATGTCGGCAATGATAGGCCGACCTGAAATCCAAACAACGGTCCTCATCCGCGTAGTGCGGGGACGAGGCCGGTCTTCAAATAAGATAATCACGCCGTGCCGAGAGGCCGGTCATGATATAATGATGTCGGCAATGAGAGGCCGATCTGAAATCAAGCAACGGTCCTCGTCCGCGCAGTGCGGGGACAAGGCCGGTCTTCAAATAAGATAATCATGCCGTGCCGAGGGGCCGGTCATGATATAATGATGTCGGCAATGAGAGGCCGATCTGAAATCAAGCAACGGTCCTCGTCCGCGCAGTGCGGGGACGAGGCCGGTCTTCAAATAAGATAATCATGCCGTGCCGAGGGGCCGGTCATGATGTAATGATGGCGTCAGACGGCCCTCGGCCGTGACGATCTCTTCTAGGCCCCCGGCCTCTGAATGACGGGTGGTCGTCTCACGGTTCTCTGTCATGGCATTCGCCTCTAGATCCTCGGCCTCTAGGTGTTCTTCCTAGGCCATCGGTCTCTGGGGTGGAGATGCTCGTCCCACGGTTCTCAACCGTGGTGTTCTCCTCTAGGCCCTCGGCCTCTAGGTGGAGATGCTCGTCTCACGGTCCTCAGCCGTGATGCTCTCCTCTTTAGCCGGCCCTGCACGTCTTCAAGACTCGGGCCGAGCGTCTTCTAATCATTTCACTCGAGCGCGTCGAGCGGCTTCAGCTGCGCAATAAGCATGGTAACGGGCCGCACGACCCGACAATATGTATACACACATAACTATCTGCATGGTTTTCTTTCTAACACCCACGATTACCGGCCTATGGGTCATCGTGACCCTCGGCCCGGCTCATCGTGCGGGGTTAATGGACGTAGCAGCTCGCGGCGGGGCCAATTAGCAGCCCGCCGAACGTCACATAGAGATATTCATCGGTCTGTGAGTTTTCAAACTCAGACCCAAGTTGGTTGCACCGCCCCCGGAAAAACGAGGTTGAGTGCTTTGGTGCCTTCGGGCCCCACAGGCCGCGTTGGCAATAGTCACTCTGCGCCTGATGGCGTAGATGGTACCAGGGTACGATCGTCGCTCGAGCACTCGGTGTCGTGCGGACTAATGCGTAACCCCCCAAATTAAAACGCGTCATCGGGGCACTACCCTCTGGAGACGCTCAGATCGCAAATCAAGCTGATCGAGAGTGGGCCATCGGGGCCACAAGAAGTCAAATACTTAATAAAATGTTAGCTGAACTAACCATCACTTGAGCCTCGCTCAGCAGTGGACGAATCCACCTCAACCTCGGGCCAGATGGGTTTCTGCCATTAATGGCGGTTTGGAGCTCAGAAAGGTGTGTATTTCGGAGTTTCCAACCACCGTACCCCGTATACTATTACTCTGCTGCGACCACGATCCCCCCTGACCGCCCGTGCTCTGCTGCAACCACCACACCCACCGGCAGAAAGTGGCCGGCGCATGAGCTATGTCCGAGTTGATAGAGGGAGCTCCACCTGCCTTCTTAGAGATACACTGTATATAATGAATATGGTGCTCAGCAGACCACGTCCGAAAGATAAAGAGCATACATCTAACATAAGTCCAGACATATACTAATTATAATCCCTAATAATTACATCTAACAAATTTCATGATATGCATTCGAACCAAAATTCAACAAATAGAGCATGCATTACTAAAAAAATAAGTCTGAAGTAAAAAGAGCATACATCCGCATTCGAATAAAAAAAAATTACATATAACAAGTAGAGCATGCATGATTCAACTAATTGAGCAGTTAAAGTATGCATTTGAGTATATACATCATACATTTGGATATATAAAAAAAATCCGAATTATTTAAAAATTTAACATGCATTATTAAAGAGAGAGTAATTAATTTAACATGCATCATTTAAAAACAGATCTGAATTATTTAACAATGTAACATTCATTATTTAAAAATAGATTCAACTAGTTTGAGTATTCAACTTGCATTTTTTAAAAAATTAAAGTAATTTATAATTAATTATTGAAATACGAAAAAATAGGAGTTGAAAACATAACCTTGAAGGCTGCGGAAGTCGGCGGAAGGCGGAGGCCGGCGTTGTTGGAAGCGACGGTTGCGCGGTGACGGCGATGACCTGTGGCGGCGGCGGGGTAGCGGTGGTGGTTCAGGGAATATTTGAAGAGGGAGTATGAAGTTGAAGAGAGAGTTTAGGGTTGGGAGTTCGAGAATGGGATGAAAAATTCGCTAAGTGTTTCTTTTATATAACGGCCTAGTCACGGACGTAGTCACGGATACATCCGTGACTAAACCGTTCGTATTCAACGCAATCAGACCGCGGCAGACGAGGTGTCAGGGCCGCCTTTGACCGGCGTAGTCACGGTCAAATCCGTGACTACGACCGTGACTAAATTCAAATTTTGAATTTATTCAGTCTGGATCGTTGCAGTAACGACAGTTTAGTCACGGTTAAGTCCGTGACTAAGACCGTGACAACTTCATTTTTTCGGTATAAATCATCCTTCTCCGGCCCAAGAATGGTGTGGAGAAAAATGGCTAATCGAGATCCAATTGACTGGGATTTCATGTGTAGAGGTATGAAACGACTTAAGCTAATTACAGAGCTTATGGAGCCGAAAACCGTTGAAGCATACGAGAGAATCAAGGAGTTGATGTCTAGACCCCTTGAAAGTTTTGGCGATTATAAAGATGAGGAATCCGACTCATTCGGCAAGTCAAGAGCAAAAAACTTGTGTCGGATGCTTCAACGTGCACAAGAATGTTCAGAGTATATGGACCCGATCAACGAAGAAGCTCGAAGGAAAATTCAAGAGTTGTGGGCTAGGCCTCTTGAAAGTTTCCGATTGAGGAATGAATAATGTTAATTAGGTTAATGTGATAAATGAATTGTGTGTTTTGTACTTATCTTTTAAATTTGATAAATAAATCTGTGTTAGTTGTTTATTAATATTTAAATTTATTATAATATTCATATTAGTAAAAGTAAATTACTTTTTTTTAATTTTCGAATTTTGTTAATTTAATATACTTAGAATTATTAAAATTAATTTTCGAATTTAGAATTATAAAAAAATATTAAAATTAGTTTTCGAATTAAGAAAAATTAAAATTAATTTTTGTTACATGGATATAATATGGAGTAATTTTAAATTTTGTATTGTGGAAATTTTAATTTTTAAACTTCAAATTGTTAAAAGTTATATTTTGAATTTATAACATGGATATAACAAACTTGTTGTTGTTGAATTATTATATAGTAATTTTTTGTTCATAAATAATAATGATGAAGAAAAAAAATCAAATATTGTTGGAGTAATATAATGATGAAGAAAAGAGCACAAATATTAGAAGTCAATAAAATTGAAATTACAACAACAAAATTATTCGCTATCAGAATTGTCATTTTCTACATATACAGTATCTTCTTCTGTATCTGAACCGTCTATCCATTCACCTTCTTCCTGATATTGAGCGTTTTGTTGTGCTACATACATTTCCTCAATTTCGCGCTCAGATGGAATGGTTAGGTCTGGAAGGTGCGTTTCTGGCATGACTTCAACACGTCCGCCATTTGGATCACTTAATTGGACGTTATAGTTGACCGTCTCAACAATAGGCGGAGGTTGGAAAAATTGTTGCTGAAAAGCATCTAGATCAACGTCCTTGTGTTGAGTTTGTGATTTAATTTTGTTCGGACGGACAGGACATGCACACACCCAAGGATTCTGGGCCCGCCTTGTTGAAGGATATTCTGCATAATAAATCTGCGCTGCTTGTTGGGCGAGTATGAAAGACTCATTTTTCGGGTACACACGAGAGTGGTTGACGTCAATCATATTATACTTCGGATTTTTGCGCACGCCACGTGTGGGATCGACCCATGTGCAGCGGAACAGAACGCATGTCAATTTTTGCACACCAGAAGGCATCTCAAGTTCCAGAATCTCCTGCAGGACACCAAAAAAATTGGTTTCCGAGTTATCATAACCGATGGTCGGGACACATAACCCGTTGTTCGTTGTTGGTCGGCCCTGTCCGTAATCGGCTGTGTGATATGTGTAACCGTTTATCACATATTGCCGCCACACTTTGGCACTGGCACTTGGGCCCCACGCTAATGATACTAACAAAGGGTCGACAATCCCACGACTATTGATCTGTAAATATAAACATAATAATAACATTAGGTAAATATTGAAAAATCTTACTTAATAATATATATAATTAATGTGTGTATATATATACCTGATACTTGTACCAATTTACAAAATCAGAGTCCACCAACGCATCAATTTCATTCTCAGGAAAGGCTGATAAAGAAGCTCGGAATTCACTGTGAAGTCAAAAAAAAAAAAAAAACTATAAATTAACTACAAATTTAATTTATAAGTATTATAATTATAACTACAAATTTAACTTACTGATAAAACGGTGAGATTTCTGGACAATTCATGAGGATATAAGTATGCGCAATTTGCAATTCCCCACCCATGATGTATCGTTGTGTCGCAGCACCTTTACCTCTGCCTGGATAATTGAAGATGGAAACTACATTTTCATATAAATCCTCGCCAATGTCATCGTTCCGGGCAGGTCTCTTCCTTCTGGTGATGACGTCACGCTCGAAGTAAAAAGACGAGAACGTTGAGATTTCTTGTTGAAGATACGCTTGACAAATTGAAGCCTCAACGTGTGCCTTGTTGGTCACTTTCTTTTTCAGCTCTCCTAGAAATCTGCAATAATACACATGTTAACAGTTATTGTGAAATAAATATTCTTTTTTTAAATGAAATTGTGACTAACCTTTCAAATCTGTACATCCAGCGATAGAAGACGGGCCCAGCAGTCAAAGTCTCATACGGAAGATGTATTATGAGATGTTCCATTGTATCGAAAAACGATGGAGGCATTATTTTTTCCAGATTACACATCAGAATGGGAACAGACTCTTGTAGTCTCCGGAGGGATGCCGCATCCAAAACGCTGGAACATATCGATTGAAACAACAAACTGATTTCAGTAATGCAGGACCATACGTGTTCAGGGAGCATCTCTTTTAGTGCAATTGATAGAAGTCTTTGCATTATTACATGAGCATCGTGAGTTTTCATGCTCGCCGTCGTGGTAAGTTTGTTCATGTCTACGCATCTAGACAAGTTGGAGCAGTAGCCATCTGGAAACTTCTGAGACGCAAGCCATTGTAATATTGCTGCCTTTTGTGGTTCTGTGACCTGGTAGACTGCTTTTGGAACTTCCTTGCCCTGATATTCTAGATCAACAGAAAGTTCGGGTCTATCACACCAAACAGTCATATCTTTCCTAGCTGCAAGACCGTCTTTAGTTTTGCCTTTCAAATCCATCACCGTGTTAAATATATTGTCAAAGACGTTCTTCTCAGTGTGCATGACATCTAAATTGTGACGGATGAGAAGGTCTTTCCAATAAGGCAACTCCCAGAATATGCTCCTCTTTGTCCACTTATGGGTATCACAATACCCATATGGCTCTTGGTTTGGCTCTTCCATAGCCGTAGGAAAACGTCGAACCCGGTTATAAATTTCTTCACCGGTCAATCTCGGGGGTGGGCTCTCTCGTACCGCTCTGCCTCTAATGAAAGACTTCTTGTCCTTTCGATATCGGTGCCTTTCCGGGAGAAACTTGCGGTGACAATCAAAGTAACTTCCTTTTTTGCTGTAACTGAGCCAGTTGGCACGTGATTTCTCCATGCATATCGGACATCCCATCAGACCGTGTGTGCTCCATCCCGAAAGCATGCCATAGGCAGGGAAGTCGCTAATGGTCCAAATGATGGCAGCTTTCATGATAAACATTTTATCTGATGAAACATCATAAGTTGGTGTCCCAACGACCCACAGTTCTTTCATCTCCTCAATAAGGGGTTGAAGATAAATGTCTATCTTTCGTCCAGGATCCTTGGAACCCGGACAAATTAAAGACAAAAAGATGAAATGACTTTTCATGCACATGTCGGGAGGGAGATTGTAAGGAGTTAACATGACCGGCCAACATGAATAGTTCTTGCCAAACCTGCCAAAAGGAGCAAATCCATCTGAGCACAATCCCAGCCGCACATTTCGTGGCTCCATAGCAAACTGAGGATGACAGCGGTCAAAGTGTCTCCAGGCTTCACAGTCCGAAGGGTGAGCCATCATACCCTCGTTGGTTTCGTGCTCAACATGCCATGTCATGTGTTTCGCAGTAGCAGTCGAAGCGTACATCCTTTGCAGTCGAGGAGCTATTGGGAGGTAATACAGTTTAGACAGTGCAGACCTATGTCGTGGTTTCTTTTTACCTTGACGAACAGGTTTGTATCGGTCTCCACCACAGAACTTGCAGAACTCAAGTGCCTCATCCTCCTTCCAGAACAACATACATCCTTCCGGGCACGCATCAATTTCAACACAAGGTAGCCCCAACTTAGACATTAACCGCTTCATGTGGTAATATGAATCGGGAAGGGTATGATCTCGCGGTAGCATCCCTCCTACTGACTGCAAGACTCTATTCATGCAAGTTTCAGGGAGACTGTATTCGGCTTTTATGTTCATGAACTCAGTAACAGCGGATAGCTGAGAGTATCCCTCACAATCAGCATACAGAGGTTGGTCGGCAGCTTTTAGAACATCCTGAAATCTCTCAGCCAAACCTTCATCCACATAAGGTTGATAAAATGTCGGATTTTCATCCGCATCTGGTTGATACGAGGTTGAGGCTTCAGGGGGGTCGTTAGGTGGTTGTGGGGGGTTGAACTGAGACGGTACACCGTATGCATCATATACCATTTGTTGGTCCCACCTCATTTCAGCACGGTCTCCCCACACACTCATCTCTGGAGGGACGTAACGAGACGAACCTACCGTTTGTGGTATAACAGATGGATCCAAAGGTTCGCCGTGAGAAGTCCAATTATAATAATTGGGAACAAAACCGACCGCGTACAAATCATACCCAACTTCGTGTGGGTCTTTAAATTTGAGATTTTTACACTTTGAACATGGACATCTTATTTTATCACCACTCATATAAGCCGGATGTTCAAGTGCAAATTCAATAAATTCCCCGACTCCCTCGAGAAAATTTGATTGCATTCCGTACAATACCGCATCTTTATCATACATCCAACTTCTATTTTGTTTATACATTATGCCTGAATATTATAATAAAAAAGTATACACGTTCAAAACGAAGGTTATTAATGTAACAATAATACTAAGTAATTTTAAGTAATTTATTTCACTAAATAATCAACTAACTAATTTTCACTAAATTAAATGAAATGCACACAATTCATAACAATAATACACAAAATATAAGTAATTACCTAATACTTAAATTTAACTAATATTACAAAAAATTTAAGTAATTTAACACTACATTTAAATTAAACATACGTTTAACTAAATTTAACTAATTCATTTAATTAAATTTAACTAAATTTAACTAGCTAGTTCATTCCGTCCCCTTTTAATGCATCACTACGTTTAAACCTACGTTTAGCTAACTAATTTAACATAATTAACACATCACTAGCTACGTTTAAACCTACGTTTAGCTAACGAATTTTAATTAAATTATTTTTGTAAACCTACATTTAAACCTACACTAAATTATTACATTAATGACATTTAATCTTATTAGTACTACACAATAATTAACAATTCACTAAATTAAATAATATGACCAAATTAACCCAATAATTTGAACATGTATATAAAGTCATTTGAATTAATAAATAATACACAATTACAATAACAATTCACAATACACTTAATTAACACATTACTAACGTACGTTTAACTAACTAATTTCACTTAACATAAACATCATTACGATTAAAACTACGTTTAGCTAACTAATTTTAATTAAATTATTTTATAACATTACTACGCTTACAGTTGAATATGTTGTTAATTAATTAACAACCTCACTAATTTAATATTTTTAATAATTTAAATTGAACCAACTAATTCTAAATAAAAATAATAATTCAAATAACATACCTTAACTGCATAAACGGGGAAAATGATAGAAGATAGACTACATCCTTCGATCTTTCAAACGGATACTGTATATACTGGGAATGAATTTGTGTGGTTCTGTTGAATGAGCTGCTCCTGCATATATAAAAAATTTAGTCACGGACTTAGTCACAGATTTGTCCGTCACTAAGCAAAACCGTGTCCATTACGCGTCCAACCCGTGTTAATGACGTGTAAATGACGTCTTAATCAAAGTAGTCACGACAATAGTCACGGACATGGCCGTGACTAAATTTGTCCGTACATAATACCGTTATGAATTAATTTATGGGAGATCGAAAATAAAATTTTAATCATAGTCACGGCTTTAGTCACGGCCAAATCCGTGACTAAGTCGCCGGAGTAAAACAGGCCAGGCCGGAGAATCAAACGGGCCAATCGGAGGATGTTAGTCACGGACCACGACCGTGACTAAATGTAGTCACGGCCATAGTCACGGTCAAAGCCGTGACTATTTTTTTTTTAAAATTTCTGTGACTAGTCCGTGACTAGTCCGTGACTAGACTAGTCACGGACCATATCCGTGACTACCGTCCGTGACTAAACGCGTGTTTTTTGTAGTGGAAATTAGAACTAGCCTATGTCCTTGTAGTACTTTTATTTGAAATTTTCCAAAAAAGCCGTTGATCATTAACATACTTTGGTGACTATTGTTAAACATTAATCTTTCTAGATTGCATATTTTTTAGATACATTGGACTAAAAAGAGTATGGACTAGTGTAAAAAGAAATGTTGAAGTAACGGTGAAAAAGTACAAATGTAAAAACGAAAAAGTAAATAAGTAAGTGTACGTAATTGATCGAATTTTTTTAAAATAAAAATTTACCGAAAAGAGAAAGTGTTGCAAAAATAAAATACTCTCCAAAAATGAAAGTGTAGCACATAAAAGAATGTAGTATAAATTTTTATTTAATTTACATTTTTAAAATCTGACACAAATTTTACAATATTTTATATTGACTAATTCGGTAATGCATCAATAAATAATCCGTAAAATATAGTCAAAATAGAGCATGTAAATAGTGTACAAGTCAAAATAAAATAAATAATTAGTGTAAGATTGAGTGTTTCAACTATAAAAGCTAGAGAACATATGAGTATATTATGGGTGACAAATGTGGAACAACTTTCAACCTATTAGCGAGTACTTTATTAGAGAAGTTCTTGTGAATATCATTACATAGAGCTATGTGCCTCCAATCCCCAATAACCCCCGGATTGTCCTTTTTAGCGATTAACACAATATGAGTATGATTTATCTTATCTGGAAGTTTGCCTGACTGAAAGACATCGATGCAAAATTTGATCACATTTGGCCCCACCACATCCCAGTAATGCTGAAAGAAACCCCGGCTCGTCCCATCTGGTCTAAGAGATTTATCCAGGAACATATCAGACCATGCCACTTTAACCTCTTCCCCTATGATGGATCGCAACAGATCAACATTATGAGATGCTTCCAATTTCCATGGGACACAATTGAAAACAAAATCACATGCACTATGCACAGAGGAAAAAAAATAGCAAAATAATCACCTAGTAGGCGATCAATTTTAACCCTCAACCCTATTGTTCCTTCAACGTTGCTTCACTGAATTATGGAAAAATCGTGTATTAAGGTCACATCCCTAAAACCAAAATTCACATCCCTAAAACCAAATTTATTCTGGCGCCAGAATAAATTCTCATGTTCTAAAAGGTCAAGATACTCTCACTTGGCCCTTTAAAAGCCCCCAAACTCCACACACCAGAACATTTACGTTAGAATTCCAGCCGACTTCTGCAAAAACTAATTTGTTTGCTCAATGATCCAAATTTTCTTCAGCCCCACTCACCCACTAACTTACCACAAACCATAATCAGACCCACTATCGCGCAATCAGCCCCCAGTATCTAGCTTCTGGCCATTAGAGATCAACAATCTTCATTCCTTAGCCATGGATTCTCAAACTTGAACCTACTGCAACGATGAAACCTACGGGAAGGAATTAATTATATATACAAAGTCAAATGATGAGTAGGTGCCCCTGCCCCTTCACCGATTCCACCACAACGCTGCTGAAAACATCCAACCAAACCTCTAAAACGAGAATTCTATCCAATCTCTCCTCCGCCCAATATGGAGCCCCCCCACCATTCCCAAGTATATCGATAATTAACCTTGGAACAATTTTTTTGCAAACCACAAGCCAAGACTGTGTCATGAAAACCCCTCAACAACCACGGAGGACAGCACTTCTTCCATGTTTATCATAATTCATCATGAGATCATTCAAATCTCCCATAACAATCCATGGGGGGGGGGGGGGGGGGGTTAACATGAGCATACGATTTTAAGAGAGCCCCAAACCCTCTGCTTTTACTCTGCTTCGGGCAACCGTAGAAACTAGTAAACTGTCACATAGGATCATCAACCTCCAGTTGAACACTGACATCAATAAAATGGGGAGAAGAATCCTGGATTTGAACTTGCACCCTTCCCCCCCAAAGTAATGCCAAAACCTATCAATTACAAAACAACATTGCACACATACTTTCATCACAACTTCCACTTGAGATCTAGTGAAAAACGTCTCCATTAAAAGCACTAACGTTGGCCTCTTCAAGTGGACCAAACCCACCAATGCTTGAAGTGTCGCAAGAGTGTCTAGTCCACAACAGTTCCAACTGAAGCAACTCATTGTTCTCGATGGGTCTGGAAACCAGGACCCGTCGCCCCTCTGTTTTTGAAAAAGAAATCACCATAGTAGATGCATCCGAGTCATGAAGTCCTGACCTAACCCCACAACTTTCCTTTTATTCAATAGTCCCCCCAATAGCTTGAGAAAGATCAAATGTGTCTTCCCCACCGCCATTGCCAGGCATACTCATAGCCACCACCCCACCCAGAAAGTTACCTTCACTGTCAGCGAGCCACCTACTGCGACGCCTCACACCACCTCTTCACCCCCCGCCCTTAACCCAGTGCCAAACTATGTCCTCTGATCTCCATCCAAACCTTTGAAACGCCTCAGACAGAGTTTTTCAGCATGACTCATAAGACCGCATATGAAGTAGAAGTGCGGTGGCCTCTCTTACTTCACTTCCACCACAAAAGTATCTGGTCTTCAATGTTAGCCCACTTTTCAAGGGCTTGTTAACATCAAGTTTCTCTCGGATACACATGATTTCCTTTCAAATTATTAGCACCATGTCCTGAGTAAAATAACACGTCACTAATTTAAAAATCTGTATCCAAAAGATTTCATGGGATAATGAAACAAAGATCGGGTCCTCGATCAACTTCATCCAGTTTATGCAAATTCAGCAAACTGTTCTCGTAATATATCTCCTTTCTCCAGCCTCCCTTATGTGAACCCCCCTCACCGATCTCCAAACGCCCGCCGTTGCATCCCGAAAAAAGTTAAATTTGATGGATTTATTTGTCAGAACGCATCCAACAACACAATACATCGATCATGTCAACGAACCTTGTATGTAGAACAGTGTCGTCAACTTCCATTTCATCTAGATCATCATTCTCTTAGTTCAAACAAGCATGCATATCTTCCATCCCACTTGCCATGCAGTCGAAAGCAGGAAGAGTCGATGTAAAAATCAAACAGACTGATCGGAAAGAAAGACGGTGCTAACTCTAGACCACTGGGGAAGATAACACCTAATGTTTAGTTTTATTACCCCAATGTGCATTACACGAACTACGATTTTAGTTATACTAGTCCATATGAAAATAGTATTGTTGTGAGTTGAAAAGAAGAGATAGATATGAAGCAAGATTATTTTGACGTAAAAGAAAATGAAATTTATTCCGATACGAAGGAATATATCTATGAATATAATTAATATACTTTTTTTTAATCTCAAATTGAAATATTTTTAATTGGATTGTGATTTTGTGATCTAATAATAAAATAAATGTCGTTCTAATTGTATGTTACTATATATTATCGAAATCTCACGTGATCTAATTGATCCAATCTAATACATTTAAATTTGATACTCCCTCTTGGGGCGTTCCAATAAAAATTTCCAACTTATATTTTTTGGACAATTTGTGTGGCTCACATTCATTTTAGTTTTTACTTACACACCTACAAGTATACAACTATACATTTTCCATTTGAAATAATTACATAAATATGATCAAAATAAAAATGGTTTACAAAAATATGACTAGTTACTAAAGTAGTAATGAAATCATAGTAATTCATGTTCAAGTTTTGAACCTGAGTTACCACAGCACTACATTGTAGTAATGAATAGTCATATTTGTGTAAACAAGTTTTATTTTAGTAATATTTTTGTAAAAAACCCTTTTCATTTTAATCTCACCTCCTTAATATGCGAGTCAAGTCAATATGAAAAGAACTTTATGAGACGAAGCGAGTATAATCTAATTTGGTCAAGTCTAATTTAAAATTGAGAGCCCGTTTTGTAACATGAAAATCAACTGTTTTGACTGATTCTGCTGAAATTTATGAAGTTCTGGCTGAAGTGACTGCATTGGCTGATTCTGTTGTTTTAAGAAAAAATTATTTTTAAAATATATTATATTAATAAAACAAAGAAAGAATTATATGTAAAAATAGGTAAAATGATCATCTACAGTACCTTCAGCCAATACAGCCAGAAAAGTAACTCCAACCTTACTTTTTCTATTTATTACACAATTTAGCGCGCGAAAGTAAAAATCACGTATTTGATGAAAAAGTTGGTTGGTAAATCTGATAAGCCGAATTTTTTTTGAGGAAGTGAGACCAATCTAATTAAAAACATCTTTAGCAAGTGTTTTAAATTTAAATTCCATTTTTGTTAAGGAATGCAGAAAAAAACTACGGCTCTTCGTGCGGTCAGAAACGCAGCCCACCACGTGGCCGCCTTCAATGTCTCTAACTCTCTATGATTGCTTTCAGGTAGGTCGTTAACAGATTTTTTTCGATCGCAGTCCGCAGAGGAGATTCCTAAGGAATCTTTCATTCCCCTCCAAGCAGATCATCTCTCCCTCAAAATCCATCCTTGATGTCACACACACATGTCAGCAAGATATCCTACACAGCTGACTGAAACTGAAACGTGTGAAGAAGACAAGGCAAGGCAGTATGAGATTTTTGAATTCTCAGTCCGTTTTCGTTCAACTTCAAAGCTCATGCTGCTCTGCTAAGCAGACACCGGTTTCAACATTTGCATACCTGTCTCAGTCGGCCTCAGCCGCACTCTCTGAGGCTTTTCGTCGAAAACGTCGTGGACAGAGAAAAATCTTATCTTCGATTGAGTCCCCGGAAATTAGAAGACCGGGGAAGTCAATTTCGACAAACTCGCGGTCGTCCCCGAGCTCTCTAGATGATCCTGTCTCGGACTTAGATTTGTTCCTTCATATAGTGCCTTTGAGGATGAAGAATTCGCTTGTTAGGCATGAAGAAATCGGGGAGCTAATTGAGATAGTCATGGATCTGGGTAGGAATCCGATCGCACGGTTTCCTTCCGGAGATTGGGTGATCTCTGATCAGCCTGTGAAGCTTGAGGATCTTCGCTACGCCATCTCGAAGGTCAGTGTTTTCAAACACTATTATTACATTTAAAGTTAAAATTTGAAAAAAACTTTTTTTAACAATAAGATGCACTCTCTCAGTCTTGGTTGGGCTCGTATTTTAGTTAAACTTTAAAGAAATTTCCTACCAAATAGGCTGAAAAAGTACACTTCCCTACAGAAAATCTGTTGTTGGCGCATGGCGCCTTGGCTGCGTCTTTTCTTGTATCTTTTTGCTGTAAAGTATATACTTTCCGTAGAAAAGTTCTTAAATAGACACATTATTTGTTGAAGGATCAAATTTGAAAGTGAGTAACGTTACAGAATTAATAGCTGTTGCAACCATAAGTTTGCAAATCCCCCAAATTCTTTTGACAAAATTAGAGAGAAATACACTTTAAAACAATATCATTTTCAAGTTGAATCTAATAGTTTAGTTTGATATTATGTACTCTCATAGTTGAAGGACACCACGTGGAGTAAAAATCATATACTGATATACTTGAGGAGTTGAGGTTCATGTAGAGTAGAGGTAAATGATAGCAAAGAAAGTGACAAAAGTTATGATACAACATAAAAACAACATGTTCAAATTTAAGCGGAAAGGTGGTAGTATAATTTGTTACTCCCTCCGTCCCACTATATTATGTAGTACTTATTACTCTTTTTCTGTTTGCCTTACTAAATTTTCTGATAATATGTGTGTGGTTTTAATCTATTCTTACTGTATTCATAGTTTACCAATTCAATATCACCCATATCAAACCAAGTTTAGTAATAATCAAACTATTTTTTGATTTGATCTGATTTTGTTTAGTTTGGTCTGTTTATATCTCATATGCGACTTAAATAATCATAAGTAAACAGGTTTTTCTTTAACCCTAAATAATACTTTCATTTGTGCCCAACAGTCATGTTTTACTCTTATTTGGAGGTATCATGTTATGTGTATGCTTGCTACTACTTTTACATACAAAGGTCAATGAATATCTTAAAAAATGTTCAACTCTATAGGTTGGTGATTTTTCTGATGACAATCGTTCGGGAATTGATAACACACTGCATCGCATAAGCGCTATACGTAACCGTAAAATGCAAATAATTGGCCTTACATGTCGAGTCGGTCGAGCTGTATCAGGAGGTGCTGAGATCATAAGAGACTTGATTGAAGAAGGAGGTTCCATATTAGTTATTGGGCCTCCAGGAGTTGGAAAGACTACGTTAATAAGGCAAGAACATTTTGATGGTTACTTTTTCTTAAATTGTACTCCGTAACTGTTATGCATCTCTTTAAAAATCTCTGCAGTCTTCTCATTTCACAAACCAACTATCTAAAGTATTATTGTTATTTTTCTTGTTAGGTTAGTTATTTTATAATGAAATCCTAAGTCCATTAAGTTCAAAGAAACCATTCGGTTCCAGAAAGCCTAAAAGAAGATCCCATTGGCTTCAAAATTGGTGTGTCATTACACGTATTTCAAGATTGGTCTATTCTAACAAGCCACCATTTGCTGAACGTATTAAGCCATTCAATGTCAACCAAATATTGAACTACAAACCAACATATAAAGTCTTAATTGCTTAATCTATGAGGCGAACTTTGTAGAACGGTTTCTGTATTAGCCATTAGGGTTGTAAACGAACCGAATTGAGTCAAATAATGAAATTTTGTATTTGTATTTGTTTAATTTGTTCGAATACGAATTCAAATATGAAACGAATATTGATTTCGATTTGTATTTGTATTTGTTTAACAATACGAATAGTTAACGAATCATATAAGAATATCGAATCGATTTGAGCATAGGTTAAATATTACTACCTCCGTCCCAAAATTAACTTCCCTTTCGGTTTACGATGCTTGACTGACGATAAAGCAACTCGATCCCTGCTCACACTCGGATTATTTTTAGTAAATAAAATTTACAAATTCAGAAACTACATTAAAACCGCTACAAAGCCTGATCAATAAAATTTAAATTTGATAAAAATTTGATATAAAAAGTAAAAGATTACGAGTGATTCAAGTTGACCAATGAATAGTGACTGAGAAGTTGTTTTTGGGACGGAGGGAGTAGTCAAATATCACTTTAAAATAACTTTTCTTACAATCCGTATTTTTTATGTAAATGCATGTTATGACTTAATATGTGTTTTTAGAGTTTAAATTTAATGGATCAATGCATTTTTAGATGGTGCACAATATACTAAAGTGAATTAATTTTATGATTAATAAATATAAATCTATTTCAAACCTTTTGAAATAAACACTAACACACACATATTAGAAATTATACTTATAATGTGTGAAATAAGTTAATAATTGTATATATCAAAGTCAAACAACTCTAATTTTATTCTTCAAATCGGATACATAATTATTTGTATTGTATTTGAAAGACATTTGAACCAAAAAAATGAATTGTATTCGTATTTATATTCTGGTTTATTACAAATGGGCTTGGAATCTGTATGTAAAAATGTGTAATAGGCTACACTCTGAGGGTATTGCTATCTTTTAAAAGTTATTATAGTGTTATTACTATTATTATTAATATTGATATTGATATTAATATTACCATTATTATTAATTGAATATATTTGATTACTATTCGAATCGAATGCACTTATATTCTTATTTGTATTTGATAACAACTCGAATCAAATTTAATATTCTTATTTGTATTTGAATTTTTTGAATTCAAATCGTCTTATACGAATTCGAATCGCGAATCGAGCACAAATTATTTGATTCATTTACAACCCTATTAGCCATAACAAACAATAATTGCTAATGGGGTTATATAATTGTAGAGAAATAGCTCGAATGTTGGCCGATGAACAAAAGAAACGTGTTGTTATAGTTGACACATCGAATGAGATTGGGGGTGATGGAGATGTTCCTCATTACGGGATTGGCCTTGCAAGAAGGATGCAGGTTCCAAATGTCAACTTGCAACACGATGTGAGTTTTCAATTTATGTCTTTTGCTTTGTGGAACGGTGGACCAATATTTAGCTGCTGAATAACTTTACTTAAATGTATTTATTTGGTTGAATAGATGGTAGTTTCATGAAAATCAGCACCCTTACTAAATGGGCTCTTACTCATCTGGTTATGTTCAAGCAGGTTATGATTGAGGCAGTGGAAAATCATATGCCTCAAGTTATTATAATTGATGAAATAGGAACAGAACATGAAGCATTGGCCGCCAGCACAATTGCTCAGAGAGGTGTACAGCTTGTTGGAACTGCACATGGAACCACAATAGAGAGCATTATGAAAAATCCCTCTTTACAGCTTCTAGTTGGTGGCATAGAGGTGCATCTCCTCTTTTCCTTGTTCACTTTGGGTTAATTACTTCTACCTCCTTCAAGGTTTGTTTAAATTTCAAAACCACCATCAAGTTTTCTCAAATTACATATAAGTCCCTTGACTAGCCAGTTATTTTGCAAATGATACGAAATGACGATAGGATGTAATGGTATTAGCAGAAATACTTTTTTTGGAATAATTGACTAAATTGCCCCCAAAGTTTGTCACAAAGATTCTTTCTGGGACAAAACGTTGAATATTTCATCCTAATTCCTGTTAAATGCACGCAAAACAACCCTTATTAATATCAATAATCAACTTAGTAACTTTCAGTGCTAAAAAGTTCATTTCTAGATGATTTAACTAATCAACGGGCTTATTTAATTGTTTTAAAAACCAAGAGGGATAATTGTTAATTTTACAAAACCCTTGGGGTGGAGGTAGGCTGTAGGGGTAGATGCTATTAATTAAGTCTTTAACTTTGCACCACTTGTTCTTTTTTTACTTTTAATTTGTTCTTCCTGTCTCCTAACTCCGGGTAAATATCAGATATCAATACCATCTGTCCCTGTTGTGCATCAAATTTTCTAATTTGATAACAGAGTGTTACTCTTGGTGATGAAGAAGCAAAGAAAAGAAAAGTGCAGAAAACAATTCTTGAGAGAAAAGGACCGCCTACATTTACCTGTGCCATTGAAATGATATCTAGAAGTGAGTATCGTGTTCACCATAGATTAGATGCAACTGTGGATGCCATTCTTGCAGGTAAATTATGAACTAACGGACTACGCCCGTCATTTTATTTTTATTTTTCATTGTATGCTTAGGGTCCGTTTGGAGCTCAAAAAATACTATGGAAAGTGTAGGAAAGACAATGGATAGGAAAATTAGAAGGAAAGATAACTTGTCAGAAAGTAAATAATATTCTCAAATTAATTAATAAAACTAATTTAGATCATTATTCAAACTCTCTTTTTTATATGGTGTATAAAGACCAAGAAGTCTATATATGTGAGGAAAAATTAAAAATTTAAGCATAATTTATTTTCCTTTTGCATTTTCTAATGTAATATCAATCATAAGAAATTACTTCCCAGCCTTAGCATTTTCATGGATCCAAACGTACCCTTTACGTAATTTGGATGTGGGTTGTGCTTTGTAAGATTATAATGACTGGTGAGTTGATTCCTTTCTGGACCTAGGAAAATCTCCAATCTTTGAAATTCGTCAGGTGGAAACAGAGGTGAATACATCAATGAAGTCTTATTCAACTGATATATCTGAACGGACCAACAGCCCAGTTGACAAAGAAGATAGCAGTATAGTTCATAAAGTGGACAGAGGTTATTATCTGCACTTTCAGAATGAAGACAAAGATGTTAATTCGGAGGCCAATGATGATGACGAAGAAGATCATCCCAAGTTCAAGAAGTTGGCTACAAACGGAACTCTTTGCAAGCGGACCTCACCTCTGTATGTATATACCTACAAGGTAAATATCACTCCCTCCGTCTCTCTTTGTTCATTCTTATTTTATTGTTCATCCCTAAATGGTCTCTCTCTTCCTTTTATGAAATGAATTCGTGGTTGATATCGTTTTTCTCTCTAAACAAGTTTCAACAATTTAACCCCACAGTTTCTACTTTATTAAAAACCATACAAATTCAAACTAGAAGATATAAGGATGGAGTAGTATGTATTTTTGTAGGTTAATTTATAATATATGGCTAAGGTTCAACTTTCATCATTTTGTTACTGGCTTGGCCAAAAGAAAGTGAACTGAAAAATAATGAAAGCTAAGAATAAGATGAACTAATCGCCCTTGGCAGAGTATGGCTCTTTCTTTATGTAGGTAGAGAAGAAATTTTGGTGGATATCCTCGCGGAACACACAAATGAATGAACTCCAAAAAAATCAATATTATAAATGAATAGGAAACTTCTATTTATACTAGCTCCAAAAGTCACGGTGAGAAAGTTTTAGGGTCCTAATATATTACATTAGGAACTTAGCTAAATTCGAGGTCTTTCTCAGAATACTAGCTAAATTCACTCTTTTTTGCCTACAAAGAAGTCGAATTGGTTTAGTATACAGATTTGCAAGTCTCTGTGGATGAAACTTTGTAATCTTACTGGTTCCCTCTCCCTCTTATTTTTGCTTTGTTCAGTAGAGGTCAATTCTGCGGATATATCAGTTTTGTGCAATTCGGGAGTCCTAGTAGAGAAGAAGAGGGACGATGGGATTAGGGAAATGGAAAAGAAAGAGGCGGGGAGTCCCGGGACGAAAGAAAATGATAAAGAAATAAGGGCAATTTTGGAAATTTCATACTCATTAATCTTTGTGCCCCAAAAAAATGGGAACATCAAATTAGGACGGAGGGAGTACTAATTACTATGTAGTAATAAGAAACTAATAATAATAAAAGTTCTCCTGAACCCCAGCGAACAGCACTAGGCCACCCACATCATCTCTATGATCCATATTTTGGTAATAAAATGCAAGTGTGTTATTTTGTTGTGTGTATTTATTAGATTGATCTGCTTTTAGAAAATGGTATATAATGTATCTGGTATGGCTAAATGTTAGAGATATTGAATCTCACTTCTCTGTGGCTGTCTTCCAGATTCAGGAAGCTGATTTAATAGAAGTAGCAACTGCTATGGGGCTTGAAGATGAAATAGATACAACTAATGATGTAGGTGCTGCAGACGCCATACTGGTTTCGAGTGCAGAGATGAAACAGAACCCTTGGATCCGCAGTGTTGCCAAATTTTACCAAGTTTCTGTTTTTGTCATTAAGGTGCCCCTCTTTTCCTCGTACTTTTTTTCTTCTACTTCTTTTTGTTGTTTCTTCACGACGTTGGTTCATTACAGTCAAATACAATGGCACAAATGGTCAAGGCGGTCCGTATGATTCTTTGTCAATGTTCAAATCAATCACTTAAAAGTCCCTTTGGTATTCAAATTGAAGATGATGCACCAAAAAGAAAACCAAGTCTGGAGGAAATTGATGCCTTAGAGGTGTGGTGCCTCTTTAACCGTTCACCATTTATCATATTATAAATTAAAAAATATTCGTCTTATGGTTTCATGGCTATTAGGTATTTCGGTCATATTTACTTCACATCATCGACTCATTCCCTATTTCCCTTCCCTTCCATTTTAGCGCATGCTGTTGATTTTTTGTTAGTTTTGGTCATTCCAGTTATATCTGCACAGTTTTGTGTTGAATTTTTGCCGGATAAGTTGTTAGAAAGACTGAGTGTAGCAAGAAAGAGAATATGATCTAATAATTGTGGAACTAAAAGTCGAGTAATTTCTTTTATTTACTACCAATGTAAACCATTTCATTTGATTTTACACTGTTGGTGCTTAGGATTTAGTCAAAAAATAGTGTATAAAATAGAATACTACCTTCATTCCTTAAAATTTTGCCGCTTGCTATTTACTAAGATTGAGGATAATGTTTAACCATACCTGAGATCCTTATATTATAATAATAATAATAATAATAATAATAATTATTATTATTATTATTTAAATATACATATTTAGAAACTGCACTAAATGTTCTATGGATGCGTGAAACCAAAAGTTGACCACATGAATTATAAACTGAGAAAGTTTAGTATATGATTTTCAGATTTTGTATAATTTTGTTGTCTCAACATATATAGGAAGTCCGGCTTGTGATCGAGTACATAGTGATACCTGGTGGAGAGGCGGTGGAGCTTCTACCGAGGCGTTCTGAGATAGCAGCCAAGCAAGTTAAGCTGGTTCAGAGTTACCAATTGGCTGTAGAAAATTCAGGTACAGAATTGAATCCCAGGCTGCAAATCCTTCCTCAAAGACTAAACAAGGCTTCTATGAAGCCACTCTAAACCTCAATTATAGTCTGAAATAACTTCCGTATCATTCATTCAATTGGTGGCTATGGAGGACGGGGTACTGGAGCTGTTGCTGCTCGGCCTCCACTATTGTGATAATTCAAAATGGTCTCATAGATCAATGTCAACATGCAGTTATGTAAATGTGTACCAAATTTGTGTAAAAGCTTTTATTATTTAATGCATTCCTAGATCATTCACTGGTTTTTTAGTTACCAAATTACCAGGATAAATCAAAGGCCGTTTGATGAGGTTAAGTTTGGCTTAAGTAGCCGTAGAAGTTTTTTTTTTTTGAACATTTTTCTAAACCTATTATAGTATCTGGTCTTGTTAATGCCAACATCCTTGATTGGGATGAGACTCGAACCTGTGACCTCCTCTTTGGGAGATCTGATGCCATCAAACCACAAGGTACTTGCCGTATTGCTAGTAGAGTACAGAGAAGAGGAGGTAGGCATTGGAGATAGTGGTGGGCCCGGTTCGGGCTACCCGGCCTGGACCGCTACTGTGCGGGCCCGGGACCGGCCCGGTCTGGCGGTCTGGGATCGGGTGGTGACCTGAACCGGTGGGATAGCGGGAGGCGGGCACGGGTAGGGCAAATGGGGACCCGGTCGGGCCTAGTTCGGGCCCAATTCCTTTTTTTGTTTTTTCATTATTTTTGGGTTTCCACCGGATTGGCTGGGTGTTTTGGGGGTTGGGGTTGGGGGTGAGGGATAGTTAGGAAAGTAAAAAAAAAAATACATTCGACCCGGCCCGGGCCCGGGCCCGACCTGGCCCGGGTCTATACCTAATTGGAGAGAGCTTATACATACGGTATATTACTACGGGCATTCTCTAGTGTATTAAAACTGCAAGAGGTATGTAGATTCAGTGAGAGAAAAACAGATGATAATATAAAAAAAATGGGCCATTCCCTCCATTTTCATGTACTTCGTAATTCGTATAACATAAATACATAATACTCTTATAGTCTAATAGTCTTATAATGATATTTTGGAGTACATATGTACACTCCCAGTAGGATGTCTAAAAGTAAGAATTATTCGAATTTCTCCTAATTTTAATAAGTGTAAGACCTTTTCCCCTCGCCCAACTGACTTAGAAAGAAAGAGTAGTGACCAAATAATTGAATAAAGAGGGAGTATATATTGTAATGGGAAGATCAAATTTTTCTATAAAAACACCTGATCGTAGCGCGAGTTGTAGATTAAACTTGTTGCTCATTTGAGATTGAATGATTGACTCACTCTATGGCGAATACAAAAATTTTGTTCTTTTAAAGTTTCGATAGAATTATCAATGCTTGCAAATAAAATCTAGTTTTTTATTTGGTAATATTAACTTTTTTCTTTTCTTGTCCATACACTTTGATAGAATATATGAGCTCGGACATATGGTCATGTGACTATTGGACTTTGGGGGCATGTACATCCAACATACGTAGTACGGAGTATATCATTTATATACAACTTAGTTTATAACTAAGCTTTTATATCATTTACGAAGTATTAGTTATGTCATATAATTGTGCTTATCAGACATTCAGACCCATAGGCCATATCAAAAGTCTGATCCACATTTTTTTATATATACATACCCACTTATAAACGAAATTCAAGTCTAGTCTGGTCTGGTCTGGGACTGAAAACAGTCCAAAAGAAAACATCCTTAGAAGCCTGTGAAAACCTTAACTCATATACACATATTCAATCCTACATTAATCTTCTTAAGCACACTCCGTATGTGTTAAGAAAAATTATATACAGCCACATCCTCGATAATTTTTTTTGACGTAGTCTCATAGTCATATAGTGCAATTATATTAAGCACACTCCGTATGTGTTGAGTAATGAGACAATGAGTACTCTACTAGATTTAATGCAATTATTATGCAAAGGTACAAAAAAACTGGGAGTATCAACATATTTTAGTTCTGCTCGTATATTCTTTTAATTCACGTCTAATCTTGGTTGGGCTATAGGTTCTCTAAGAATAGGTGCTTAGGGATATCTTTTCGTTTTTTTTATCGTCAAAACGGGTTTAAATGAAAATCACAACATTTAGAAAGACGCTAAAATTGTGAAATAATGGGAAAGAGGTACTCCAATAGGAGTCCCGACAGATATATTTATAATAGAAGAGTTGCCAAAATACAAAATATTCCTAAATAGATATAAGACAGATTCCTAAATATATATTAGGCAGATTCCTAAATATATTAGTCTGTTACACCCCCTCAAACTGTGCGGGAGATACAACGCGCAGGTTGTCTTTTAAAAAATGAAATTGCAAACTAAAAAAAAATTCTTAGTAAATGTACCCGTGAGCGGAAGATTAGAAGGCACATCTTTGACAATAAGATCTCCATGAGATTATGTGTCTGCAGCAGCAAGCGGCGAACTCAACAACGCGCTTGAAGCAAGCACCGTGGTCAGCGACGCAGAAAAGGTGGGCTACGCGGACATAGGCAGCAGCAGGCGGCGAACTCAACGGCACGCTGGAAGCAAGCACCGTGTTCAGCGACGCGAAGGAGGTGATCTGCGCCATATTAGCCGCACTCATCTTCAAAGGATCGGAGACTATCGTAAATGTGGCGGCAATCAACCCCGAGGCGGCGACGGCGGCTATAATAAGGTTCATGGGAACCGAAAAAAAGAAAAAAAAATTGTATCTACAAACCTAGAGCTCTTGATACCATGTGAAATAATGGGAAAGAGGTACTCCAATAGGAGTCCCGACAGATATATTCATAATAGAAGAGTTGCCAAAATACAAAATATTCCTAAATAGATATAAGGCAGATTCCTAAATATATATTAGGCAGATTCCTAAATATATTAGTCTATTAAAAATAACAAAAGCACCACAAGCAATCATCCGCCCTTGGGCCAGACTCTGAGTTAATCACCTTTGACAAAGCAATATAACTCGTTGATCCGAAATTGGGCATAATTGAGCTAATAATGGTTACTGCAGAACTCTCATCCCCAAATCTAATGCAAGAGTCTTACAATAATAAAAATAACCAACAGAAAAGTAAACAGTCTAATCTTGGAAAATAAATCGCAAGAAAAAAGTAAAATTAAAAAGATGCTTCCAAACCCTAGATTCTTCGGCACTCCATGGCGGCGGTTCAGGAGGGGGACACTTCAGCAGTACTGTAGATTCTGCCTTATCATGTCCCTTCTTCATCCTGTTCTCTACCAAGTCTCCTCTGTAGAGATTATAATTGTCCCCTCCTAAGGCCATCCACTTATATTGGTCCAGCACTTCCTCCTGGCTTCTGCGTTTCCGAAACCAGCCCTCGAATCTGCGCCCCACCGCCACGTTCTTCATCCCTGCGTCGCAAGCGCTGCTACACCGAGACGGAAGCGACGAGAAAACTGATACTACACTAGAGCCTAGCCAAACTCTAGAGAGAAAATTAATTCTCGTAAACAGCCGAGAAAAACACCAGAACCCACCTTCGATCCTTCGTCCCAGCCTTGCTGCTACGATGGAGGCGACCGAATTGGGGAAAGACGGAGCTACACTAGGAGGCGGCAAAGCCGAACACTAGAGAGAAGTTTTATATCTTATCGTTTATAAAATGTGTAATTAAACTTTTTTTGAAAGATTAATCAATCATACAAAATATAGAATGAGTGATGAGTACAATTTAGTGTCTAATTATTTTAGAATGTTACCCCAATGCAGTAAAACATAGAATCGTCCATACCTTAAGTTGTCCTCCTAATTGAGCATGGATTTGCTTTAGTACTTGTAACGTAATTCTGATGGTTTAGAACAACGCCCGTCTAGCTCAGTTGGTAGAGCGCAAGGCTCTTAACCTTGTGGTCGTGGGTTCGAGCCCCATGGTGGGCGTAGTTGTTTTGTTTTGTATCTCGTACAGTATTTAGCTATTAATTGCCAACAGAACCTTTAAAATTTTTAAAGTGTCATCTAGGCGCTCCGACTAATTGATTTGTCATTTAACTGAATTAGTCAGCCGCTTATAACGTCTAGTTGCCCGCCTAGAGTGTCTAATCGGACACCTAGGCCGTCTAGATTCGCTGAACATTACTGCACTTTTTATAATTTTAATTTTCTAAGTGATATATGTATTTTAGCTCTAACAATGAATATAAAGAAATAAAGTTGTAAATTAAGATAAAACTATATAGGTTGTATACATACCTAAATTTTATCATTATTTATATGTATAACATAATGAAGTTAACTTCACTCTCATGTTTATCATCAATATTTAATAAGAAAATTGTCATTTTAGTTCGTGTACTATCACGAAAAAGTCAATTGTGTCTTTATACTTAAAAATCAATTAAATCTTTGAATTTTGAAAAAAAAAAACTTTCAATTGGCTCAATTATCATGTTATAAGCCATGTCAGCAGGTCACCCCGCTGACGTTATGCACATGCGGCGCTTCAGGTGTGCGCCACGTAAGCAAAGTCGTTGTTGACTGACACATGTGTGCCACGTCAGCGGGTGACCTGTTGATGTGATGAGTAACCTACCAATTGACTCGATTGAACATTTTTCAAAATTCAGGGATTAGATTGATTTCTTTTAAAGTCCGAGGATCAAATTGATTTTTTCATAATAGAACGAGGACCAAATTGACAATATGAATTTAAAAAAAAAAACAAAAAAAAAACGAATATAATGAAATATGGAAAAATGTCTGTTAAGGAATCCAATTCTCGCAAAAAATGTCATTTCTGTGTACTGTCATTGGGATAGAAGGAATCCAGATCACAGGGTTAAGGTTTTGAATCAGGCAGTACACTGCTCACGGCAGTGATAGTAGCCCCGTTGTCCACAATCACCGTCGATAATTGTTTGTATTATTATGGAATGAACTAATACTTCCTTGCCCCAAATTTAAAAGCATCTCCAATGCTAAAACGTTAACGGTGCATACGTGTCATGAGAAATAACCAATTAAAAAATAATAAATACAATATCTCTCTCCTTATTTGAAGGATCTTACATCATTTTGGTAAGTTTTTCTTCACAATGTCAAGCACAATGTCTAGATGTAGACATTGTGATAAACATTGCAGACAAAAACTTACCATAAACACATAAGACCGTGGAAAGAAGGAGAGAGATTGTATTTATTGTTTTTTAATTGGTTATTTCCCATGCCACGTATGCACGGTTGACATTTTATCATTGGAGATGCTCTAAATTTGAACGGCGATAAATTAAAATCATTTCTATGGATATTCAAATCAGTTGTGGTAAATAAAATTTACCATATTCGAAAACTATATTGAAAGTTTTATAAAGTCCCAAAATTCA